CTGAGAAAACCAAAATTTAAGAAGAGTCATGTACCAAAATGTTCATTGCAGCTCTATTTACAATAGCCCGGAGGTGGAAACAACCTAAGTGCCCATCATCAGATGAATGGATAAAGATGCGGCACATATATACAATGGAATATTACTCAGCCATAAAAAGAAACAAAATTGAGCTATTTGTAATGAGGTGGATAGACCTAGAGTCTGTCATACAGAGTGAAGTAAGTCAGAAAGAAAAAGACAAATACCATATGCTAACACAATTTAAGGGGAAAAAAATGTCATGAAGGACCTAGGGGTAAGACAGGAATAAAGACACAGACCTACTGGAGAACGGACTTGAGGATATGGGGAGGGGGAAGGGTGAGCTGTGACAGGGCGAGAGAGAGGCATGGACATATATACACTAACAAACGTAAGGTAGATAGCTAGTGGGAAGCAGCTGCATGGCACAGGGATATTGGCTCGGTGCTTTGTGACCACCTGGAGGGGTGGTATAGGGAGGGTGGGAGGGAGGGAGACGCAAGAGGGAAGAGATATGGGAACATATGTATATGCATAACTGATTCACTTTGTTATAAAGCAGAAACTAACACACCATTGTAAAGCAATTATACTCCAATAAAGATGTTAAAAAAAACACCTAAAAATAGAACTACCATATGACCCAGCAATCGCACTACAGCACATACCCTGAGAAAACCATAATTCAAAAAGAGTCATGTACCACAACGTTCATTGCAGCTCTATTTACAATAGCCAGGACATGGAAGCAACCTAAGGGTCCATCAACAGATGAATTGATAAAGAAGATGTGGCACATATATACAATGGAATATTACTCAGCCATTAAAAGAAACTAAATTGAGTTATTTGTAGTGAGGTGGATGGACCTAGAGACTGTCATACAGAGTGAAGTAAGTCAGAAAGAGAAAAACAAATACCCCATGCTAACACATATATATGGAATAAAAAAATAAAAAATTTTCTGAAGAACCTAGGGGCAGGACAGTAATAAAGACACAGACGTAGAGAATGGACTCGAGGACACAGGGAGGTGGAAGGGTAAGCTGGGACGAAGTGAGAGAGTGGCATGTGGGAACAGATAGCTAGTGGGAAGCAGCCGCATAACACAGCGAGATCAGCTCAGTGCTCTGTGACCACCTACAGGGGTGGGATAGGGAGGGTGGGAGGGAGACGCAAGAGGGAGGGGATATGGGGATATATGTATACATATAGCTGATTCACTTTGTTATACAGCAGAAACTAACACACCATTGTAAAGCAATTATACTCCAATAAAGATGCTAAAAAAAAATTTTTTTTGAAGACTGTCAGACTAAACATTGTCATGGTCAAAGGAAATGAATAAGACCCATGTGTCACCAAGACTTGGACACAGAATGAAGAACGTGTGACTGTGTGTGTAATGGTGTCTCCGTGTTACACAATGACACCAGCTAGCAGGTATTGCCTCCTTACATATGCCAAGCACTGTGCTGAGCACTGTACATACATCATCTCAGGTAATCTAAAAATTCAGGGAGCTGTTACAATTTCAGCACCATTTTACAGATGAAGAAACTGAGGCTCAGGGCAGTTCCAACGGTTGCCCATAAGAGTTATGCTTCATAGAGTCATGTGTTCTCCCAAATGGTATGTGTTTCCCGGGAAATGAGTCAGAAACAAGGAGTCCTTAGACTCTCTCTTGATCAATGAACTCACTGACCCTCGTAGAACATTCTTCAGCTGGTGAAGAAAAGAATCTCCCTCAACCAAAGCACAGTAAAGGGTGCACACTAATCCAGTCAGCTAGAGTAGTCGCTTTCAGCCTTTTCAATCTAGGGAGAATGTCACAGGGCTTGTCTAGGGAGCGTCATTTCCCATCTAGACCTCAGAATCACAGACAGTGGCAGCAAGCTTTCAGAATGGTCTCAGTCTCGCCCCAAAGCAATCTGCCTGACAATGTCATAAACCTTGTTCTGTTTTCCACTCTCAGGTCTTGGTTTAGCGTTCCAGCATCTTAAAGACTGTTCTAGAGCTACTAAGTGGCCTATGAATAGTAATATATCTACAAAAAACTAATATTGGACAATTACCAGGGGAACAAAATAAATTTCCCTCTGAGATTAATTTAATCACACTAATTTTTTTTTCTCCAGGGTGTTCAGATGCATACAATATAAAAGACTTCTAAATCGTTCCAGATAAAATGTTAACTTTTCTATTGTGACTTCTGAAAAAGAACTAAAAATGCTCTTAAAATTATACAGAAGGAGACAGATCTAGTATACGTCTTCTCCAGAGAGATAAGAGGTAAAACAAAAGAAAGGCATAGAAAAGAAAAAAGACATCAAATATATTTCAGTGGGACTTTCACAGGGCATCCCTAATGATTTGTTTGTCTGCTAGTTCTGCTTTTCCAAAGTTCTTCTATGCCTCCCCCTTGAAGGTCTGCTATCTGCTGGGGAGCAGGCCCTCAGCTTTGGCTCATTGCTTCATCTCAGTGTAGGGCTTCAGAGGCCTTGGACGACCAAAGTGGGCATTTCTTTGAGTTGATGTGGGGCTGGCTTGCTGAACTACAAGGGCGCCTTTGGATAACTTAGGACATACAAACTGCTTTGTTTATTAGGACTAAAAATTAGACCATGTAGTACAATCTGGGAACTAGGCCAAATTTCAGGCAGGACCTCAGCATTTATGACAATAACAAAGGCACAGTGGAAAAGTCCAGTTAATGAGGAAAGGCACCCATAAAGAATTTCCCAAAGAGCCAAGGGGTTATAATGACATACTACATATAGTCTAATCCTTCCTAAGACTCTACCTCTTATATTAGGGTTCTACACAAATAACACCAGCTCTGGGGAAGTATGCAATTTTCTCCTGAACCCCTGAGGATCAGATGAGAAATGTGTGCAGCTCTGAGTTCTTACCCTCTGCAGGATGCTGGGGAACTGGGACCCCTGGCCAACTCATGGAGGTGTCCTCCTCCAACATTCTAGGCTTTCCTGGCTTCCAGCCCATTCTCATTCAGGGTAGGATGATAAATCTAAATTTAGACAAACCCACACTACCTGGCTTTGTGATTTTGTTGTTGTTGTTGAGTGCCGTTTGTTTGGGAATAAAGGTATTGAAGGGAAAGAACAGAGGACAGGTTGGGAAAGAGGGAAGGAAAATTGTCTACATGGAATGGGGGGAAGAGAGAGGCTTTAAAACCATCTTCTATCATTAAAACACAATAACAATAATTTATAAATAAATGGAAGTGTCAATCTTTTATTTTTTTGTGATATTTAATGAATTTTCATCAAATTTGCAAGTTTTGCTTAGGATGGCTTAGGTTAAAATAAAGACTACCCTAAATTTGCTTCCAGTAATTGGCAATGGGATTCCCTAATGACATACATAAAAGTAGGCAGGTGTTCTCTGTAGGAGCTGACAAATAGATTCATTAAGAAGCTCAAGCAAGTGCTGAGCAGAGCACGAGCTGCCAAGATGTGAACAGAGAAAATGCACAGTGGTTTCAAGTGTGAGTCTCCAATCAAAACTCACTAGGACATATGGGGAGGGAGAAGGGTAAGCTGGGACGAAGTGAGACAGTGGCATGGACATATATACACTACCAAACGTAAAACAGATGGCTAGTGGGAAGCAGCCGCATAGCACAGGGAGATCAGCTCGGTGCTTTGTGACCACCTGGAGGGGTGGGATAGGGAGGGTGGGAGGGAGACGCAAGAGGGACGGGATATGGGGATATATGTATACAAATAGCTGATTCACTTTGTTGTACAGCAGAAACTAACACACCATTGTAAAGCAATTATACTCCAATAAGGATGTTATTTTTAAAAACCCAAAAAACTCACAAGGACAGATACACTAAGTTTCTGAACTGATTTGCAACTGAGCTGCTTCTCAGAGGAGCAATTCCAAGAACCAGGCTCCAGGGCAAGTTACAGTGGGCATTTATTTATTTAGTAGTTAATGATCCACCCGTGCATCCTAGCTGGGGAGGCCAGCTAGGAACTGTACAGCAGGGTACAAAGCTGCTTTGAAACAAAGCAGACCAGATCCTTTCCCCTGCTCCCTGAATAAATGAACGGATGAATGAATGAGGGGCTCCCAGCTGCGGCACCCGTACCTTCTCCAACATCTCATCCCACATCCTTCAAATTCCTCTTCCACATTCCTCCTCCTGATTCACTCCACCTGGGGTAAGTGTTCAAAAGCAAAGGTCACCCAGACCCTTATACAAATGTGCTGGTTTGGGGGAGGAAGAAGCCGGAGAGGTTGATGGGTTTGGCAGAACAGAATCAGGAGGCATTTCATAAGAATGGAAGACTGTGCTCTGTGTCCCTCCCATGGAGGGTCACCAGCAGCACCAGAAATAGGACAAGGAATTTGAAGGGAATAAAGGAGGAAAAACCTAAAGGTGTGACTATGGCATGTAGCCTGAAGCCTTTTTGGGAAACCGGTTTTCCCAAAATGGTGACTGTTTATAACAACAAAGGATAGCAAACCCATTTCAGATATTATCTTCCCTCAATAGTCCCTTCCAGTGAGATGATTTGTTTATATACTCAGTAAGGAAAGTGACATCTAGAAAGTCAGAAGACACTTGCATAGGCCATGCCAGAGTCAAGGCCCATGGCACAACACAGGCTTCTAGGAAACTTTCTGGTTCCAGACAAAGCCCCCAGGGTCCTGTGGTTTAGCTCCTTGAAGGTTGATATGAATGAGTCTTATCTACCTCTATGTACCTCACCCCTGTGCCAGGAACAGAGCAATTCCTCAGTAATTTTTGTCCCTAGGAATTTAATTTGTAATAATACTTTAAAATTTTTAATAATAGTTGTGTTTTTTAAATAAATGCATGAATAAATGAACAAATAAGTTCACTGTTGCAATGACCCAGAGAAAGCTTCTACCAAAAAAAAAAAGTTCACACCTATTAGTATATGCCTGGCAATGTGCTAGGCACGGGGTAGGGGATGAAGGAGGATACAGATGCATCACTTTGTGTTAAACACTGTTCTCTGGCCACTGTCCTCCATTGTACAACCCTAATACCCAGGGAAGACAACCATTAATTTCTAACATGTCAATGTGGGGAGGATATCCTTCCTATGAGAAAGATCTTGGAAACAAGAAAGCACCAGGCAACTAGGCAGACATGGGGAGTAAGATTGGGGCAAGCAAGCTTGAAAGCAGGAGATGTGACACAGTCCACCCATAACTAGCTTCAGCTGAAAGCACTTCACTTACATTAGCATATAATTGAGGAAAGGGCTTATCACCACCTGCAGTGCTAATCACTGCCAACTCAAACTGGATTTTGCATTTGTGACAAAGCCCCACAGTTCCCTGAAAATGCCACTGAAATAAGACAAGTTTCTGTTGCAAAATTACAACATAAAATACTTTCAACATATGCCTTCTTACTCATGACAGACACACACAACCATTTTGACAGGAGGTATTGTAAAGAAGGAAGAGGCAGAGAACAGAAGGAAAGGGAGGGAGGAAGGCAGACATGCCATAAAGAAAGGAGTTACATATGGAAGAGGACAAATCAAACCTCAAACTTCAGATGCAGAGATTAACAAGGAAGAGCCCCTTTGCATACCTTGTTTCAGGAAATCTTCAAGAGCTTCTTGAAGACCTTTTCCCCCCAAATCTAAGTCAAATTCACCATAAGGAAACAATCCAATTAATAAGGACTGGGTAAATGCTAACTGTCCCAGAAGATAACTGAAAAAGGAAAAAGCGAGGGCTTGGAGTCCTGAATCTGAAAGGTGGCTCTACATTTTACCAACTAAGTGGCCTTGGAAAAAAATTTTAGTCCCGCCAATCTTCAGTTTCCCCATCTGTAAAATGTGAATAATAATATTTACCATGCAGAGTTGGGAAGATCATATGAGGTAATGCATATGAAAACACTGGCACTGGGCTTGCCTGGTGGCGCAGTGGTTGGGAGTCCGCCTGCCGATGCGGGGGACGCGCGGGTTCGTGCCCCGGTCCGGGTGGGTCCTGCGTGCCGCGGAGCGGCTGGGCCTGTGGGCCGTGGCCGCTGGGCCTGCGCGTCCGGAGCCTGCGCGTCCGGAGCCTGTGCTCCGCGGCGGGAGGGGCCACGGCAGTGAGAGGCCCGCGTACCGCAAAAAAAAAAAAAAAGTATAAAAGCACTGGCACTGTGCTTCCTAATTAAATACTTTTCTCCCTCCTCACCTCTTTGCTCTTGCCAGAATCTTCAGGGCACTCCTAACTGAAATAAGAATAGAGGATCTGTCCAGTGCTTCTGAAACTCAAATGTGTATATGAATCATTTGGGTTCAAATGCAGATTCTGACTCAGCAGTTTTGTGATGTGGCCTGAGGTTCTGAATTTCTAAACAAGCTCCAGGGGAGAAGATGATGCTTGTTAGAGGCCCGCTTTTCAAGAAGCAAAGTATTAAATAGCCTCTAAGAGTTTTGATAAATACAAATTTCTATGATATAAGAAAGGTACATGTATTTTTCAAAAGGCTGTGCAAATAATTTAGTGAAATTCGTACATATCCAAAAAAGTCCCATTTGTCCACTAGAGATGGGGAACCTTGTGAGATACTTGATTTCACCAGTAGACTAGAGCGGAATCAACATCAGAGCTAAAACGCTGAAATGCCTTACACCACTGCTTAGACTATAGAAAGAAAATGTCCTTTTGACTCAGCTGAAGACATTTTTCTAGATTTCTCATTCAATCCTTAGAAAAATACATTGGATGAAAATAAAAATCAGAGATTCTTCATGCATTTTCAGTTAAAGCTCTGGCAAATAAAAAGATCAGATCAAGCATTACGTTGGAAAACAAAAGACCGCGGAAGAAATTCCACAGGTATGTGGAGGCACGGGGGAGCATGGCAGGAAGAGAAGGGGAAGAGGGCAGGAGGAACCCTTTTTTAAAAATGAAAAAATGCAAAATGCAAAAAACCTGACCATTTGCACAGGAAATAACATATATAGGTCCTGTATAGGTTCAGGAATTTATTTATAATTATTTGCTCATAAAGCATAAATTCAGAACTATTCCTAATGTCAAAATACTTTAGTTATTTTTAATAATCACACATATAAAATTCACATTCGAACTAAACAAACAAAAAAAATTCAACTGCCTTGCATACTCAAAACATTCAATTCTAGAATAACCTAGAACTTTCGAAGGAGCACATCATTTTCTTCAGTCAGTTTAGGTTTAGATGGACTTAAAGGGGACTGGTACTGGGCTTTCTGAGTAGCCAATGGTTTCACAAATCCAGACAAGGGTTCAAAGTGCAGTGCAAATTAGTAAGTTTCCAAATCAAGTTAGACCATTTTTATACTATATGAATGCAACATGGTATATTTTTCAAAAGACATTTATTAACAACATGAACAAGTTTTTTAAAAAGAATTTATCTCACAAAGCACCGAGCTGATCTCCCTGTGCCATGCGGCTGCTTCCCACTAGCTATCTATTTTACGTTTGGGAGTGTATATAAATAAGTCCATGCCACTCTCTCACTTCGTCTCAGCTTACCCTTCCCCCTCCCCGTGTCCTTAAGTCCATTCTCTACGTCTGCCTCTTTATTCCTGTCCCACCCCTAGGTTCTTCATAACCATTTTTGGGGTATTTTTTGTTTTTTTTTTTTTCGATTCCGTATATATGTATTAGGCATAGGGAGGGTGGGAGGGAGACACAAGAGGGACGGGATATGGGGATATATGTATATGTATAGCTGATTCACTTCGTTATAAAGCAGAAACTAACACACCACTGTAAAGCAATTATACTCCAATAAAGGTGTTAAAAAAAGAAAAAGAATTTATCTCTTATTAGAAAATTATCTCCCTTACCCAGATATAGTGAAAACATTAACTGTAAGTCTAACACCATTCAATTTTATACTTAATATTACAATGTCTTGTAGTGTTATTTCATTTCTGTATATAAAATAATCTCAAGGGGATAGCAAATCTCTGAGGAGCTAAGACCCTACCTTATACTTTTTTAAGTCTCTATAGGATTTAACAAAGTGATAAACAATTCCTAATTACTCAATATAAGCCAGATAAACCCAATTTTTTTTTTTCTTCTTTGCAGTACATGGGCCTCTCACTGTTGTGGCCTCTCCCGTTGCGGAGCACAGGCTCCGGACGCGCAGGCTCAGCGGCCATGGCTCACGGGCCCAGCCGCGCCGCAGCATGTGGGATCTTCCCAGACCGGGGCACGAACCCGTGTCCCCTGCATCGGCAGGCAGACTCTCAACCACTGCGCCACCAGGGAAGCCCTAAACCCAATTTTTTTAATGCAAAATAATACATGAGGGAAATGCAATTCCATTTATCAGAACAAACAGGAGCTAATATAATGGTTAGTAATTCACAACACAAACAAGTCATTTCCAGTACATAACTTTGAGAAGTACATTTGCCAAAGAAAGATAGGCTCTAGCATAAATATAGATTTTTCACATTTTTTAGCATAACATCTTTGTGCAGTTCATTAACTTTTCCATATCAGAGAGTGAGGGAGAAGAAAAGAAATCAAACATTCCTTTAGCTTATTTTCTCACCTAGAAAAGTCTGAGCAGTGCTTTCTCTGCCAGACATTATGAAGTCCAGCCCATTTGTGCTCCTAAACTCACAAATGTCTTGCTTACAACAATGGCGTTTTTGTGGCATTTGGCCTACAAGAGTGTTTAAAACATTGCAGCACAGGACTTTGTGGTTTGCAAGAATCATAGAAACATGACTTGGAAAGGAATCTTCAAAGTTCAATTATTTATTCCATCCTTCTGCTTCCATATAAAAGTTATCTAAACCAGCAGTATAATAGATATAATATTTTTTAAAAGGCGCTCTGCTTTTTAAGATAGAGAGCAATAATATAGCATAATTAAACAAAAATTGGGTTGGCAGCCAGGACAAGGACAGTTAATTATAGAAATTGGAAACTAGTTAAGGCAACAAGACATAATTATTAATGGCCCAATGGCAACCTGTTGGGAGGTATGATACGGCACATGACTCTGTCCTCAACTGTGTTGTGCTCAATATTTTAATTAAGAGCTTATATTGGTCATTCTTAACCTGGTTGCTCATTAGAACCACATGGGGAGACTTTTTTTTTAATACCAATGCCTGGACTCCACCCCCCAGAGCCTCTATTTTGATTGGCCCATTGGTTTAGAATTCAGTGAAGATGCAGAAGACATGTTGGTAAGTCCACACATGGCACAGCAGAGTAAGGCCTGTTCTGTGACAAGCAAGATGCAGAGATAAATGTGGCACAGTCCTGATCATTAATAATGAAAGTGAGATTAATAGGAGATTAATAGGAGTCAACAATCACCAGAAAGCCAGAGCAATCTTGGGCTGCATTAATAATCCTTCTACTTCAAGCTGATCAAATAACTTTTGGAATATTGCTTGACTTTGGAGCAACACACTTTAAGAAATGATAGCAGAGCTGAAGCTCTTTGAAAAGAAAGGGAATTGGAGATGATTGTTCTGGAGACTAGTCTACTCAGTGAGCCAAACATCAGAAGGGTTGTCACATGAATAGGAGACACACTTGCTCTGCTTTGGCCTCAGAAGAAAAACTAATAAAGCAAAAGAAGATCAATTTGGATCAAATGATGGACAAACTGTCTAATGATCAAAACTATGCAAAGACAGAAAAGGCCCTTTTCAGAAGTGGTGTGTTTTCCTCCTCTAGAGGGATACAAACACAGACTGGATATGTCATCACTAAAAATTCTGTGGAGAGAAGTTGATGGAAAAGCTTTAAAGGATAATTCTACGCTGAGATTCTATGATGAACTTCAGCTAACTTCCTTACTGTACCAGTCAGGCTTTCCCATTTGTATAAAACAACTACTCTTCCATGCACTTTTGGGCTATTGGGAAAGAATGATGTCACCACCTGCAGCATATCTAGATTGTACCTGGACAGCCACACCTATAATGAGGTGACCTTGATTCACAG